AGTTATTCAGCACTGTGCAGGGCTCTGATACAACAGACACAGTTCTTGAATAAAATTATCTTTTTGAGGTTCTTAGTAAAAAAAAACACACACACACATAATTTAAAGAGGATGAAGTCTATGCTAACATGGCTTTCAACACCTTCCCTCTTTACCACCCTTCTCTGTCCCTTTGATGAAATTAATAGGAAAATCTCAACAAATTAAGAGTAGCATATGACAGGCATTGTACCAAGCTTTAATCTCAAACTTGCAAAGGTAAGAGGTCAAAGCTTCAGTTTACATGTTTTGGCTACTCCAAGATTCTAGGCTATTGTTGGGTTTACTGATTATCTACAAAAACATTTTAAGGTAAGGTAGCTCACTAAGATAAAGGGCAAGGACAGAATGTGCTGGCATCTCTTTTATCACACTTATGGATCAAGCTATTACATTATTTGTACAGGATAAACTATTTACACCTACAATATCAACCATTTAATTTTAGACAGATTTATTGTTTCACCAGCAAAATTAGACTAGAATTTCAATTTTGAACATTAGTATAAATCTCTCTTCCCTAAATTTTAAACCCTTTCCCCTGCTTTTAGGAAACATAATTGCATAATTCAAACTCCTTTAATACTGTGACCTAGTTCCTCCTCTTGATGTTATAAAAGGCTCATGTAACCATGGTAACCATCCAGGGAAAATTGAATGTTTTTCTGGTCAGCAATATGCAAAGTATACCATTCGTGTTATTTTTCTCTCTGGGATAACCAAAGTGGATAATGCGTGTTTGCTCTTCTTCTTGGTTATGGGAATGACATTTTATCATACTGAAAATTCTACGACTATAGACCCAGTCATTCACAGTACCTTCATTAAAAGGTTTAGGATCCTCTTTTGCTGTTAGTGGTCATTCTAATTGCTGCACAGTACTATAACCCATGGTATGATTGATTGTATACACCCATCTGCACTGCCTACCTCATAAACTAAATGTACAGGCTAACAGTACTCATATTAGCAATATTCCATCTCGAGAATCTGGTATTTTCTTAACTTTGTCCTTTAGTCCTAGACAAAGTGTTTCCTTAAAACAAAAAACTAAAATGGAATCATCTTGGGAGTATACTTAGATACCAAGAAGACTTAGTTCCAGTCTTTAGTGATTTTATATGTCTTCTCTTTTGCTTTATTTTTTTTCTACAATTCTACAATGTACTACTTATGCAATAAAGCAATAAAAAATGCTTTAAAACTGAGCTCAGTGGAGATGTAGACTGTTAATATTTGTGGTTATTGTTGTCGCCTATTGTACTAATGAATTGATTTAAAGTTTCAGGTTTTTTCAGTACAATTTAAAATGCTTCACTTGGACCTTCTAGAACAAATTACACACTAAAGCAAACGCCTAGATTTTTAAAGGATTTATTTATTTGCATTAGGTATAATTACATTTCTACAGTGGGCTATCAATTGGTGACCTTTCAATATGGGGATTTTGTTTAAAGTGATTTTCTTAAATTTCCTTACATTTTGAACAGTGCTTTTTAACAATCGGAATACCTTCCTGAGAAAAAACATTGCTATCTGCTTCCCTGAATTAAATAGGGAATTAACTGCCTCTTACTAGTTTAGAAAATACCTCATTAACCAAATGCAGTGTGGAATTTGTTTAGATCCTGTTGAACAAACCAAGTGTAAAATAATATTGAGACAATAGGGAAATTTCAATTGTCTGGATATTAAATTACAGTAAGATAATTTTTGGATGGGATAATGGTATTGTGGATGTTTTTAAAAAGTTCTCTGTTATCCGTTCATATTTAAAGTACAGAGAAAATGATAATAATCCATCAAGGATAAGGGAGTGAAATATTAAGGACCATATATTGATAAATGTTCAAGCTGGGTGAATGGTATATTAGGATTTATCGTACTATTATCTCTACTTTTGTGTGTGCTTGAAATTTTCCATAATAAAGTTTTAAAAAATATTAAAAAGAAAAAAAGGACTTCAAATTTAATTGTCCTGACTCAAGCAGTAGCTGAATCTTCTCAGGAGGTATCTTTAGGAAACCTTCAGAACTACTTGCTAGTTTGTTTTCCATCAGAGTTTGAAGTGGTCCCCCCTCCCCTTACAGTATAAATAAGGGCCTACCAGAGATCTTTTAAACATTTCTTCCAGGGATGTCTCACAGTAACTGATTTAGAAATTAAAGTTAACCTCAGACAGCTCTACTAATTTGGGGGTGTCAGTTACTTATCTTTTTTAGGGTTACTTCAGAAAATATACTTAAGAGCAAATAAGATGCCTTTTTGCTTTATTCATACAATTAAATATCACCAATTAACTTCTATATTGTGGAGAATTGGGGACTTTTAAATACTGCATTTAGCAGGGTACAAGAACCCAATTTCAAAAGGCCCCAAATTTCCAGTTAAGTGATTACTAAAAAGAAAAGGACATGATAAATAACCAAAGTCAAAGGGCTGAGTTTGGGGAGTACAGTGATTTTTTTTTTTACTCTCCTTACACAATCTGCTTTCACAAGTACCGCAGGAGTAAGTCCTTGATTAACTTTTATAAATTAATGTAGAAATAAAAGCACATGTCTGACAATTCATATACACACATAAGATGACCATATGAGAGTGTTCTTTATAGGTTTAGATCAACACAAGCTGCAAAATCATTATTTAGACTTTTTGCTTCCTTTCAGCCTGTTCAACAGAATTATGAAAGGTCAAAATAATGCTCTAAAAGGTCTTCATTTCCGTACTCATCCTTCCTTCTTCATCTGGCTCATGGTTCCTGGAAGGAGTGCTCTAGGTATTATAAATCATTGCGTTTTCTCACTTCTAGTTTCTAACCATGTGTTATATCTGCCTGCAGATCACTTCTCAGGCTGAATAAAATCCATATGTGCGTTCTGTGTCTAATCTGCATCAGTAAATAATGAGGCATCTTGCATTATTTTGGGCCTTCAATAAAAACTAGCTGATTTAAATCTATGAGTAAACAAAAATAGTAGGGTTTAAGTAAAATGTGATTAAAATTCAATTCTTAACAGTGACTTTTTTGACAAGACCTGGCTGCTTAATCTGATTTAAAGAATGACAAGAAAATCCCTAGACGGTTCTCAGAAATACAAGACACTGGAACTGCCTGGGTTGACTTAATAACATTCAAGTGGTCAAAACCTCCAAGTGTCACAGGATAATAATACAAGACAATCTTTGATTCCTGAGCAATATTATCTTGTTCCCAAGACTCAAATTTCCAATAGTGCTTTGTTTCGGTTTGAAATTTAAAATATCCTCTAGATCAAGGTCTAGATTTCTCTTTCCC